ACAAATTAATGTGATGAGGCCCCTTAGTGTGGTGAAAACCCCTGATGCTTTTTAAAGGATGTTCCATATTATCATTTCATACTGGTGACACTGGTAAAACCAAGTCTCTCAGATGGTGGCACTACTTTTGTTTTACAATGTAAGACAAAGGAATCTGTATTTTTTGCAAATTCTTTTAAATACCTTTACCATCCAGTGTGCATAGCTTGTATTTATAATGAAAGTCAGAACAAGGGAGACTCATGGAACACAATAAATTGGAGAATCACCACTTTCCCACCTGTTTTTCAGTAGTCACTGTAGTGCTCTATAGCCTAGCAGTCAGCACGATGATGATGATTAGGCTATTATAGTTCAACTGAAGTATAAACCAATAGATGACATGCCTCTTTGACTTATCTGTAGCCCGTTTTTCTTCCAAAGAAGAATTTCTGCTCTTTGGTGACGTCTGTGTTGGACCTCATGTACAGTTCAGCTCTCTCACTCAGTGACAGACCTGCAGATAAACGTTGCAATGACAGTATGTAAGAGTTTGTCTTCTGTAGTTAGAGCAGCCGTTCGTGCATAACCTGTTTATTTTGCAGTCACAACCAGTACAACCTCTGAAACAAGTCAGTCACACCTTAGATCCAGTCACTCCTGTTCCTGCTTCAACTGCTACTACTAACTTCCTTTATACCTCTCCTCCCACTCGCTGCTGCACCATCTTTCTTAAATGCCCAAAAGATGGCACTCCCAGTAAAAGTGATGGTAAGACTTGTGTATCTATGTGTGAACGCAAGAAAGCATAGATGTGTGTCTTCTTGTCCCAGGCTACACGTGTACACCCTTTCTCTCTTCATCTGTCTTCTTTTCCTCTATATTTCTCCCAAGTTGTTCTCACTTCTGTGGAACTTTGCATGCACTGCCTGCATGGATTTCCTCCTCTAACTGTAACCCTAACAACTATGTCCATCAGTTCTGTTACTTACACAGTGATCACGTCCAACATCGCCGTTAAATAGTTTTTAGTTTATAGAGAAGACTGTTGTATTGTATATTTTCTCTTCTCCTCAGAACCTGACATGCCACTGTAATGGACAGTGGTTTGAAAGGTTCCATCAACTAAATGCGTGTCAGATTTGATATTTTTATCGTTCTTTGTATTGTTGTGTATCCTCTGGGTTGTCTGGGACTGTTCTGTTATAAATATGATGTGGCATTAAGTGTAATGAGAAGGCTGCCCTCTGTTTTGCAGTGCAACTTAGGGTTACCTACTAGTATAGATCCTGTTTTCTGATTAGCTACCCACAGCTCAATCCTGTTTTCGTGATCTGAACAAAAGAGGTCTGTCCACTGTGTTACTGGAGGCAACGAACTGTGGAGTCAGCTGTAATATAACTGAAGCTTATTAGAAGATCAGGCACACTGTGGCACATTATGGTAAATCTTGATCAGGTGGATAGGAGATCATTGCATAGCATTGTTAGCATTTCTCAGTTCAGCTGCTGAGCACCTGTGATCTAAAGCTACTGTAGCTTCTAGCTTGCAGAAATAATTTTTTTTATAATTGTGAAGGCCATCAAAGCTGACAGATAATTTTTTATTAACTAATCTTCTAATACACAACATTTTTCTTGTCATTAGTAGAATAGTGCAAGGTGAAGATGGCAATGAATTCAGAGATGTTAGGGCGTTCCTACGGCTGCAGGTGACTGCTCATTGTTTGTCTTTCTTTAGACCTGGGTCAATAAGTTTGCCAATATTTCGTTTTGCTTGTTTTAATACATGAAAGGCACAAAAGTTGGATATAACACAAGTACTTAGAAGACTTTTAACTTTCTTAACTTTTCTGCTTTTCTCCTGTTCATGTCTTTGCTAGCGCTAGCATAACTGTGCTTACAAGGCAAGGCCCAGCTACATTAAACTCAGGTTTAAATGAATATTTGCATATACTAATGGACCCAGGTTTGTCTGTTTCCCCCCTTGTTTTCAGAGGGGTTGTACCCCCCTCATCCAGGTCTTCTTCATTCTGTCTCCCCAGACCTTTCTCCCCCAGCATCACTGTTCAGGGTTGGGATGGAAACCAGAGAGTAATTCAAGTGAATTAAACTTCCTCTGTCTCTCTTCCCTCCTTTCTCTTGTGGTTTCTCTCATTGTTCAGGTCGTGTTCGTACCAGGAGACAAAGCTCAGGCAGTGTGGGTGGGGCCAACACCTCAGTGGTGGACAGTAGGGGGCGCAGCCGAGCCAAAGTGGTCTCCCAGTCCCAGCGTATGTATACCCACTGGTCACATGCTCTCATACAGTGAAGCTAAATAGCAATCAGAGTCTAACGCTCTTCAGTCACATTATGAACATTCACTGCGAGTGAGCATACTAAGCTGTCACTCATATTTCAGCCTCTTCAGTCACATTATGAACATTCACTAAGCTGTCACTCATTTTTCAGTGTAGTCTTTGTCTGCATTGGCTTTGCAACCATACTGGATGGCTTGCTGTTTCTTCTCTATGTGTGTCTGACGTTTCCCATGCAGCAAACTGAAAGTTCTTCCAGTCACTTACAAATCCTGTATGTGTGCCAACATACATGCACAGTATGTGTGCTTGTGTTTTAAGCACACTGTACAGTTTGTGTGTGTGTTTTGGAATCTATGTAATCTTGATCTGTGAGTGCTCAGTACACAGCAAACATGTTCACAGCTGTCCAGAGTGCATGCTCAGTGAGATCAATAAACATAACCCGCCTCTGTTTCATTCTGACCGTTCTCGATCTCCACCCTGTCCTACCTATTGCTTCCATCACCCAGGATCCAGATCAGCCAATCCCATCAGTGGTAAGGCCTCAGCTTCATCCAGTCACAAGCCAGATGCTTCACTCCTAAGCAATGGCCTACTAGCACCCAGAGCCTTACATGTAGTCCCATTCTGATTTCACATTTGTTGCACCATGTACAGTAGCAGCATGTTCCACTCATTACACCTTTTTATTTGTGATATCCCTCCAACAGTTTGTGAAGCTGTTTGGAGTTGGAAGTGTTTGCTGTCCGTGTTTTTGTTGTGTTTGTTTTCACTGTCAAAGCTCTGAATGTTCCCACGGTGACTGGGTAAATGTCTTCCCACAGCACAGTTAGTTAGAAAGTAGAGCCAGCCCCACATGCAGTGTGTGTGTAGCCTGTAATATCTGAATTTGTCTTTTCAAATTACTTTGTTGTGAAGTTCTTTTCACCTCCGTTTTCACTAAAATAGCATTGATTCATTCTCAGATATAACAATTTATGAAATTCATGACATCTTTTCACAGAAGTGAATAAAAGTAGAAGAACGGATTATAAAAAAATACTTTTATGTTGCTACACAGCATTGGGTCTCTTGTCACAGGAGTTGTGTTTTTGAAATTTAATTGAATAGTCCAAGCATGTTATTGAAGGTTGTGCCACTTTGTTGCTTGTTTCCTAGCCTGTCTCTCACTTCCTACATTGTCTAACTGTGTCTCTGTATGCCCTTGTCCTGTCTCCTGACAGCTGGCAGCCGCTCTAGCTCCCCAGGCAAGCTGCTTGGCCAGAGCAGCTATGGCCGGATCCCTCGTGCGACCGTATCGGCCTCCACCACACCAGCTGACAAGCGCAGCAGGATCCCTCGCAGTCAGGGCTGCAGCCGTGAGACCAGCCCCAACCGACTGGGTCTTGGTAAGGCCAGGACAAAAGCACACAACTCACTGATTCTTTATTTAGAAACATTACTGTGGTTGTGTGGTATGAGTCTCTTTATATTTTGATGCACCAAGAAGACCATGTGTGTACGTCATGCATCATTGAGTTAATTACTCGATTTCACTGGCCTGCAAGTGTGTGCTGATGGAAAAACAAGAACTGGAAATGTGACACATCTCAATGCTGCCGTAACTGATCTGTTTCTTGTCAAGTCCAAGTCACTAAGATGTGCAGGGACTGTGACAAGACTCAGCAATGAGTGAAACACACAGGTGTGCTCGACACCATACAGCACAAGAGCACATGCATTGATAAGTTGATACAGTCTCGCACAGACTTTCTGATAAAGAGATACATGGCAGCACTCTCATGTTCTTTACTCGGACAATAAACGTGCACATACTGTACCGGCACAGACTCTCGACACCAGTGAAACCCAGTGTCTGCCTTGAAATGAGCAGTCCTCACCAAGCAGAGTTGGCTTTTGTCATGATGAAACCTCCATACATTTTGTCTTCAACTAATCACACCCCACAGGTCTGTTCTGGTTTATGACTGGCTGAGTGATAGCAGTGGATATGGGTGGTGTTATAGTGGTTGGCATGAAAGCACACTGTGTGTGCCTGATGATAAACCTTTATACTCCATCCTGATGTGAACTACAGACACAGCGAAGTTGTGTCAAGTAAAAAATATTTGTTAATGTATGGTAGTCATTGCTATCAGGATTACATACAGTAGGGTGGTTAAAGGATTTGTATCTATACAGGTTTGTTGGATAAGCGAACACTGTACTGTTGATGCTTATTTTGTTATTCTTCTTGTTTAACACAACTAAATGCGTCTTGATGTATCATTATCTAAGTTACAAACCAAGTCATGTTGTTGTCTGTCTAATCTTTGTCACAAGATAAGAGTTAAATGTTAGTTGCTCTTTGCAGTGACCGCCTCCCTCACAAGCACTCAGCCGTTGCTTCTTTCTCTGTTTTACTGTTTCACCTTTCTTCTTTATCTCTGTCTCTAAACATTCTAGTATTTTCGCCCCACTAGCTCCACCAGGGTCCAGTGATGTTTGCTTCATCTGTCAGTAGACTGTGTGCACCCCCCTTCACACCTTTGTTCTGAACAAGGTAGTTCAGTAGGTACTGGCAGGGTTGCTCACAAGCTGTTGTCATTCAGTGGACTGCCCAAACCGCTGTGTAGTACCAGTGCTAAGTGGGCATTTGTTTGAAAGAAACCTCAAAATGTGAATGTGACTGAGCACATCCTTTCTCCCCACAGAATGAGACCTTTGAGTTTTAGACAGCCCACCATCTGGCCTGTTGCATCAGCCATCAGGCCAAAATGGTGTTTTCATAACCAAGAGGTCTAATAAACCAGTGGATAAATTGCCATGAAAGTTGCTGATCACATTCATGTGTTCCAAACAGTACATGTTTGTTATTAATGACCTGCAGTAACAGCCTCTCCTCTTAACACCAGCCCCATTTTAGTATCATCGTGAGCAGGACTTTTAGAAGAGTCTCTAGTTTGACTCCAGGACTTTCACATTGTTAGGTGTAATGAATATTGTGTCTCCTATAGGCTGCCTACAAGGCTTTATACTTTCTGTCTTCCTGTCTGTCAACCTCTACCCCTCTTTATGTTCCTCATCTCTGGATCTCATCCCAACATTCCCCCATGAATGCACACTGACATTCCCATCTAACATGTTGTCCTCACAGCCAGCCTGTGTGGTAAAGCTCTTCTTCCTGCTGCTCTTCCCTACCGCACGCTAGCTCGGAGCCGCATTCCCCGTCCCAGCATGAGTCAAGGTTGCAGTCGCGACACCAGTCGCGAGAGCAGCCGTGACACCAGCCCCGCTCGGGGCTTCACTCCTCTGGGTGAGTATCGCCGAGCTAATAGCTGTCCTGTCCCAACCGGACAATCTTTACCAAATGCTTACACAAGCCTCCCACTCTGTGCGCTGTCTGTACTGTTCTCTGTCATAGCTTATGGCTTCTATCTCTGCCTGTCTGTCTCTGTGCATGCACTAACTGTGTCTTTCCTTGTTTACTGAGGAGCACCAGTTTATATATAAATAATGGATTAGTTATTTTTTTAAGCTGAATTTCTATGTTTGAATGAAGCTGGGCACATAACTGATGGTTTTAAGTATAAATGCCTCCAGTAAAGATGTTTGCCTTATGGGGAAGGCAAAGGAACCAGCAGAAGTAACACAAACATCAAGTAATTGCTCATCGTATATGTCATTATACCGTATATTATATCGTCACCCAAATCTTCATACCTGCCCATTTCTCTTGCGTCCAGCCCCGACTGTTCTCTTACCATCCGATACAGAAGGCCGATATTCCAAATCTCCACATGCACTCCACATGATAACATTGATCCACAGTTTTAAAAGGTTTTGTCATTTTTTACAGACTTCAAGGCACTGAATTCAGATATGACCTTTACAGGAGCTGATTGGCTACAGATGTTTGTAAATACCATTGACATTTTATACCAACATGCAACAAACTGACAAGTAAAGATGATGATACGTTTTGACTTCAAGAGAGCATATGGGCTGATATGTACAACAAAGAGCTCGATGTCTTCAGCCGAAGTATGAACGTAATAAGTACCTTAGTTAACGGACAGATGTGTGGTTTGTGTGGCCTGTGAGACAACACCAACCTAAAGGTTCACCTGAGAAGCTCAGAGGTCTTTCCTTCTGTAATTTGACAAAGTTTAGACATTGTCAAACACAATTCGTACACTGCCAGTGCCACATCTTACAGACCAGAGTCAATCAAGTGGCCCAGAATTAGAAAAGACTGATTATTTTTATTTCAGAAGTACTTTTGTTGTAGACCAGTGTAATCTATACTGTTTGGCCCATTGCTGTACACTATTAAAGTCTGACTGTATTTTATTCTGAACACAGCCATACTGACTGACAGCTCCTCATTTTAGCTTCTTTATTTATCATGAGAGACAAAGTGGTGGAGTGGTAATATGGGCCACACCCTACAATACTGTGTGGTATATCTCAATGCATATAGAAGTGGCCTTTTTCACACTTCAGCTAAGTAGAATCTCTGTAAAGGCTGGAAAAAGTCACATTACATGCTTTGATTTGTTTAAAAAACATCATTCTTGACTGTTTAATGAGCAGGTTACTATTCATCTTTTGCTCCAGTCTTCAGAAACACACAGTAATTCCTGATTTAAAAAACAGACCAGTGACACGTGAGGCTCAGTGCAGCAGTGTGACGGTGGCTTCAGGGTCTTACATTAGCAGTCGGTGTTTAATCTCTAGTGTGGGTCACTAACCCCCTGGTCCGGATGTCGCCCACCTTTCCTGTCCCCTGCAGCCTCCCGACGTCACTCCCGTTCAACCAGCGCTCTCTCCACAGCTGACCCCCACAGCCAGTCAGGTGACCTGCATGCCCAGAAGCTCTCCGTCCCTTTCCGTTCCCCTCAGATTGGCTACAGTATCGTAGAGGCAGTGTTGCCTACTGTAGCAGCATGGCTCTGTGGTTGTGTTCAGTGATGTGACTATAGACAGCATCCACCTTTCCTTTACTGTATTTTCCTGTATTTTAGCAAAATAAAGGTAAGAATAGAGCTGGTGCATTTGTTTAGCATGTAAATGGAAATGTGATGTTTTCACCTGTTCATTTGCCTCATACAGCGGTTTTTAATTTTAGTTGTGATTTTTGTGGAATTGTTATTTACTTGTACAGCTTTGAATGTGCTGACTCAGCTTAGTATTATCTGTTATTTAGCTTTTTTCAGTCACATGTCATTGGCGGCCTGCGGTTTGCTTGTACAGTAGTTCAGGTAGATTAAGAAGTTGTTTATTTGCCCAGGAGGAGTCTGGTTAAGTTCACATGTTATATTTGCTGTTCATCTGTTGTTTTTATCATTTCACTTCATCAGTTGTGCCCCTGCTGTTTTAATCTTTAACATATTTAGGGCATTCAGTATTTGTGTTCTTCTTCTTTGGTGCATTACTGGTACTGTCAGCCATTGATGTATGGCTGTGCTTTGGCCCATCATCTTCTATTTGGGTTTTTCTTTGGCAATCTTCTTTTATTTTGCTTTTGGTGCTGGGATACTTGGTGATCTTTTCAGCTCACCCATGTACAGTGAACTGCTTTATATGCACATATGTTTAAAAGAAAGTTACTTTCTCTGTATGCTATGTGACATTTGCATTTGTTGATTCAGGTAAGTTACATGGGCCTGTCAGCTTTGTTACTGAGCATTATTCACTTCCTGTCTAGACCGGTATGGTTTGATTCACCAAGCGAGAATCTCTGCGTCAGTCAACGCCATGAGGGTCCTTAACACCGGCACCGAGGTGGAGGCAGCGGTTGCTGATGCTCTGGTAAGTTTCTATGGAATGTTTGGCTTCAGGGGAGACGGGTGTAGAGTCGTGTTATTAAACACAAGGCAAAGTTTTCATGCATGTGTTTTAAATTTGTTTACATTTTTGCATACCAGAAGAACTGTAGTTGGTCTTTACACCTCTTTTAAACCTTCCCTCTCTCCTCTTTCAAAAAATGTTACCATTTCAGCTATTAGGAGACTCCAGGAATAAGGTAGTTGGTCATTTTACATACTGTTTGTATATTCATGCACTAATCAAGTTCAGAAAACACCCCTCAACCCCAGTCTTTTTTTTTTTAGTTTTGCTCTAAATGTTTGTGTCACATCCCAGATGAGTGCATCTGTGGTAAGCCCAGCAAGATGTTTATTTTTTCCATATGGTGATATTAATGTCGACCTCATTGTTTGGTACGTTATTCATGTGTCTTTTTTCAAAACTCCTTGACATTTACTACGATTGTAGTCAAGACCTTTGCTTATTTGTGGCACTGCTTGAATGGCTTCTGATGTTTTTCTTACATTTTTAAGTAGTGCTCTTAAACTTAAGAGTAACATCCACAGAACAAAACATGAGAATTACATTTTGCCAAACAGCACAGCAACCTGCATGGCGACCTGATGCGGCTGGCGACCTTTTATCAAAGTTTCTTACATCGTGGCCGAGTTTATTTACCTAAGTTGTTTCCCTGCAACATTTAGATATCATACTGTGTTTTACATGTCTGTGCAGATTCTATTCACATTTCTTGTATGCTCTTTCTTTCAGAGGAAGCCTTTGAGACGAAGGTACGAATCCCCAGGGATGTACTCTGATGACGATGCCAACAGTGATGCATCCAGCGCCTGCTCGGAACGCTCGTATGGCTCACGAAACGGAGGTATACCCCATTACCTGCGCCAGACCGAGGATGTGGCCGAGGTCCTGAACCACTGTGCCAGCTCAAACTGGTCAGAGAGGAAGGAGGGCCTGCTGGGCCTGCAGAATCTCCTCAAGAGCCAGAGAATATTGAGGTGGGACCAAATTCACAATGACAGACTAGAAGTGTGAGCATTGGTCAGCTTGCATGACCAGACTGTATCTGTGTGCCATCTGCTTAGCAGTGACAAGGGATGTTATAATGTAATATCTTTGAAGGCTAGGAAATACAGTAAGAAGGTTAATTTTAAAATCTGCCTACTTTCCCCAGAGAAATGAATCCAGTGCCAGTGGGGCTTTTGTTCTCAAACATGTGAATCCTCCATCTCACATGACAGGAGCATGGGTACCTGAAGTGGACTGGAATAATTTTAGCTTTTAGAAAATAACTGAGCAGTTCCAGCTCAAGCAGCTATCTGACTTCCTTGAACAGTGTGGCATGGATAAATTCAAAGGGACTGTTACAGTGTCTCCTTTGTGGCAACGTCTCACTGACACCTAGTTTATGAACAGCCTGAGAAAGAGCTGCGGAGGCTAAACTACTGTGGGTTGTTTCATTAACTCAGCTGTCATGGACTTTTGGAGGAGTAAATAGTACATACTGTAGCTAGTATAGTGCCTAGTAGTGCCATAGTACCTCAGCTTTTTGGATGTACTGTAGTTGTAGTGTATTTCTGTAGTTCATCCTCTGCCGCCCTGACTACTTGTTTGATGCTTTTTGTTCGCTGCAGCCGAGTGGAGTTGAAAAGACTTTGTGAGATCTTCACAAGGATGTTTGCAGATCCACATAGCAAGGTATTAAAGATGTATTTTACTAACTAAACTAATGGTTGCAGTTATGACTTTAATGTAAATGTATGACGTCAAACATAACATGACAGTAAAAGGTTGAACTCCTGTACAAAATGCTTGTATGCTGTGACACTTACTTGCTATTAATGGAGTGTCTCTTGTTGCATGGCCTGCCTTGCTGTGGATTTAACAACAGAGAGTAAGTGTGCTCCTCACTCCTTATTGCTTCTTACATCTCAGTCTCATTTCCTCAAGCAACGGTGTCACAACTGTTTCAACTGTGCACACGTTCTCAGGTGTTCAGCATGTTCCTGGAGACTCTTGTGGACTTCATCACAGTACACAAGGAGGATCTGCAGGACTGGCTTTTCGTTCTGCTCACCCAGCTGCTGAAGAAAATGGGTGCAGACTTGCTGGGCTCAGTCCAGGCCAAAGTACAAAAGGCCCTGGATGTCACAAGGTCTGAAACTCTAGCCAGCTGTTAGTATGGAATGTAAACAACAGTAACTGGCTGAAATTGGAAATGTTGTCCATGTTGTCTGTTTGTCAGGTTGTTAACTATGACAGTAAGTCAGTTAGTAGCAAAGTCCTGATAGTCACTGAGCTGGCTGCTACAATCTGACAAACTCTATAGAAGCTTAACTTCTGTAACTTCTGTGCACTGTGCCTGTCTTAGGGAGTCCTTCCCATTTGACCAGCAGTTCAACATTCTGATGAGGTTTATTGTCGATCAGACTCAGACACCAAACCTCAAGGTAAAGTAAGAGGACAAACACTGGTTCCTTCTGAAAACAAGATGATTTTGATTGGTCACTGGGTTATAGTAATGCATGACCAAATGCTTATTGACTCTTCAGGTAAAGGTGGCCATTTTAAAGTACATCGAGTCCCTGGCCCGACAGATGGACCCGACGGACTTTGTCAACTCCAGTGAGACGCGCTTGGCCGTGTCTCGCATTATAACCTGGACCACTGAACCCAAAAGCTCTGATGTCAGGAAGGTAAGTCAGTTCTCTGTCAAATCTGACCAGGGACCAGCTTCTCAGGGCAGTGTCGCACATTGTTTGGTTTTCCTGGTACCAGTAATGGAAAATTCTTTGCTTAGGCAAAACTCATCAAATGACATTTATTCTAGAATATTGTGTGCGACTTGCTTTAATCCACTTTCTTTTCATATTCATTCCCTTTTTGTTTTATTAAATACATGTTTTAACTCACTTATTGTGGGGCTTTAATCTTCTTCTACATCAAGATTTTATGAAGAATGGTTATATTTTTAATATGGACATGTGATCTACTTTAGAAGTTATGCTCTACCTAATTCATAATAAGAACAAGTGTGTGGGCTTATTGCAAAACGAAATGCTCGGAGACTTATTAGGAGGTTCCATAAAGTAATGAAGACAAAGAAGAAGCTTTTATTTATTGTCATTGTAACACTGTACAATAAAATTACGTTTGGAGCCGAGGGCCTCCACGTGCATATCCGCCGCCATCACGGGGGTTCAGTGTCTTGCCCAAGGACACTTCGACATGTGGACTGCAGGCACCGAGGTTTGAACCCTCCGGTTGGGAGACGGCTGCTCTACCCACCACACTACTGTGGCCAGATATTTATTTTCAGAACAGATCCATCATCCATGAAAGATGCCACTGTGCTCGACAGTCACGGGACCCCCTCCACAGCCAGAGGCATCTTGTATACCTCCACATTCTTTTAATGAATTCTTCTGGCTGTAGTGTTTGTTTAGCAGCAGTTACCACAGTTATAAACTGATAATAGGCTCTCTCCGTGTGGATGGCTTTGGCTCCACGGCCCATTATCTTTCCCTTGTCCGATGCACGTTACATGTTCTCCCTCTGTGTCCCCTGCTGTTTGTTTGTCCATTGCTGTTCTTCCAGGAGAAATCCTCACCTAGTTTCAGAGCAGAGCCTGACCTCCAGGAAAGCTGAACATAAATATATAAGGAGAGAATACAGTAGTTGTGTCTGCTGCTAAAAATAATCCCCACTTTAGTTTTTATGATTACAAATTTACATTATCTAGGTTGATTGATCCACATTGTGGTAGTTTGTGCCAGGATGATATAAAAGATTTGTTCAGCATTGCATCCAAGTGTGATGATGGATGACCTGTGCCATGCAGTAATGCCCACTCTGCCTTGCCACTGTGCTCCAGACCCTTCATAACTGGGTGAGCGAGGAGCTAGCTGGCAGGTCCAGTACTGCAGCTTTACTGACTGCTGAGGGCAACCAGGAGGAAAGGTGTAAGCAGGTAGAGCCCTCTCCAGCAGCCAACACAACAAGCACACACTGCCCTGCCTGCCCGGTGTCTTAACCATCGACCTTCAAGACTGTGGAAACTGTAGCGTGGCATCTCTCACTCACCTCTGCCATTTGACCTCTAGCTGTCTGGCTGTAACAACCTACAAATAAGTCTGCGCCTTGTGAATTGATCACCCATCAAAAAAATCAGCTTGCTGTGAAACCAGAAACAACTTGTTTTGGAGCAACAGTCTTTCCTGTTGCTTAAGCCAGTTTTATTGCTAAACACAGATAGGAATGCTGTTTTGTTACTACTGTTTGCCTAACGCATTTTGTCTGTTTGAATCACTCCTCGTGCACGTGCATACCTGCATGTTGTCAGTGCTTTCTTTTTGTTCAGTAATGCAGATTCATAAGATTTATTTGATTGATTTGATTTGATTTATTTATTCTTTCAAACATGTAACAACAGTCAGTATGTAATCACACATAATTCCACACATATCCACAAAAATATTTTCAATGTGCTTATACCTAGTACATGCTTGAACGGAGTAGGAAGAAGTTAGACTTATCCAGTCCTACCCCATGACATCATCTTACCATCACTGGTTTGCAAGCAGTATCTCTACATGGATACATATTCTACATCCACATTCCCACCTGATTAATCATTAAGCCTGTTCTATCATTTATACTAACAGTACTTTTATATCTGTGTATATGCTGTATGTTCTCAATAATACTATTCAAAAGCTATAAATATGCGTATGTTACCTTCATGTGTCTTTGTCCAAATGAAGGCATATGGCACAAATGAGAAGAACTTTGAACTTACCTTTATGAAATATACAGTTGTGTTCAAAATAATAGCAGTGTAAAAAAAAAAAGGGAGTAAAGCTCAAAATCCTTGTAATAGCTTTTATTTTTATGTATTTTTTCTACTGTAGTGCCACTTCAGTGTTGGCTCTGTACTCACTTGCATGTTGCAGCACTGATATTGTTCTTGAATTGTTGTATAGTACATTAATTTTCCACTGAATGCAGCATTGAACACTCACCTCTTTAGCAGTGTCTTTCTACAGGCTAATATGTGTGTTATGCTACCAAGACGTCCACTATGGAGTTGTTGCCATGGTTTCAGAATTACTTTGACCTTTTGATCATGGAGAATTGTCAAATATTAAAACTATTTATATTTTGGTCACAAGCTGTACTATCTGTGCAGTGGTTTTTATATTTTGACAGTGTCTCTAGTGAAACTGCTGTTACAAGCACATGGTCAGTGTATTTCTAGAACCAAGGAAACCATCTGAATGTTCCCTCTGTCACGTTTTCCATTCTAACTTGTTGTGCTACCCTGCCTGTAGGCGGCCCAGGTGGTGCTAATTGCTCTGTTTGAGCTCAACACACCAGAGTTCACCATGCTGCTGGGAGCTCTGCCCAAGACCTTCCAGGACGGAGCCACCAAGCTGCTGCACAGCCACCTGAAGAACTCCAGCAATACCAGCAGCAATGTGGTAGGTCAAACATAGCAGTCATTTTTCGGTGTCATTTGGTGTCAGAAGCCCAGCTAAGCTGAAAAAGTGTGCACTATCCACAAATAGTGATCAGAAACGCCATGCTAGGCTATCACAGAGACAAGTGAAACCTTCATGCAGCCGGCTTGCCACGTTTCGATTTCATCATTGTTTCCTTGCCTTCCAGGGGTCTCCGAGCAACACCATTGGCAGGACACCGCCACGGCACGCTCCCAGTAGAACCAGCCCCCTCACCTCTCCAACAAACTGTTCCCATGGAGGACTGTCTCCAAGGTAGATCATCACCGGCCTGCTCTTCAGCTACGCATGGCACAGATGAAACCATACGGATACCGGAGCTGTCATTTACACCTAACAGATGGGTTGTAGGAGCATGGTACTGAGTGAGCTGCTCAGAGAGATTACAACACATGCTTCATCAAAGCAAATCATTTCTTCCAGAAATCAAATACGACTTGGCTGACCGATAAAATATTTACTGGCCTAGACATAATCGGTGCTGTCAAACGTCTGATAATGAGACTTTATAGTTGACGAATACCCTGACAGGCCACTTTATTAGGTACACCTGTACACATTGTATGCTCTTCAGTGCAACACTTCCACCTTAACATCTGTGTTTATGAAGCTCAGAATGTTTCAGTTTTTGGTGAAAGTCATAAATGCAGAAACTCAGTTCTATGTTTATTATTGAGGTCATAGTTAAAGATGGTGTTGTACTGCACTACATTATATTTAGAGGTGTTCCTAATATTCTGACCCTTTCATGCATGTAGCCGGGGAGGTCAAAAATATCGAGACACCTCTAAGGACGTTTTAACCGTTTGGCTGAGCAGCTCATTCAGCTGAGGTTCAGTTGTTATAACTGCAAGCAGAAACCCATAAACACTGATAGATGACATATTGTAATTTGTGTTGAGACCATTCTGAGTAAAACCTGAGGAAGAACACCCTACTCCTACAATGGGAAAATGATCTGTGTGAAGCTGACTTTGTGGGATTCTGCTACATCTAATGCTCTCCTCTAACTTAACACTTTCCCTTAACCTTAAAGCTCAGACTAGCTTCTTTTTGTCTTCTCTCTTTCCGCCCACTTGTTTTTCTCTTTCTCCTCCCTTGTCTCGACTCATTGTCTTCTCGTGTCGTCCGTTTCCATCCGCCTTGCCCCGCTCTCTCACTCCTGTCTGTCCATCCTTCCCTCCCGGCCGTGCTGTGGCAACAGTCGGTTATGGGGTTGGGGTGTCGACGGACTGTCAAAGCACCCCCCTGCCCCTCCTCCTCCTCCTCCTCCTCACTCCACCCCTGCTGCCCCCTCACTAAGGGTCCTGCGCAGAGCGTTTTCACCCAGGTAATGAGGTGGGCTGAGACACACACAGAGGATTATTCCTCCAGGAAGCCAGAGTCTGATCCTTTTGCTTGTACAAATTTCCCTTTTCCAAACCAGTTGAGAGTCTTTTCTAGTTTTTTTATGTCAGTGTTTTGCTGAATAAATATTGTTCCATCGTCTGAAATCAAAAAATCAAATGGTTTATCATTGCTTCAGAGATGTGGTTAATTTTTGTGTGAAAATCCATAATATGCCACACAGTGGAGATGTACAGTAAGGCAATGCAGAAAACAAATTCATGCTTGTGCATCTTCCTCAGATATGTATTTCATGCAAGTCTTTTTCTGTGTCTGTGCGTCTGATAGCATGATGGAGTATGACACTGAGAACATGAACTCAGAGGAGATCTACAGCTCGCTTCGCGGCGTCACCGAGGCCATCCAGAGCTTCAGCTACCGAAGCCAGGAGGACCTGAATGAGCCGATCAGACGGGAGGTCAAGAGGGACGATGCAGTGAGTCCTTAACCCCTTCATCTAGAAGCTTTGTCCTAAATATTCTGCTTGGAAAGTTTTGAGGTTCAGCCAAGCAGTATGGTGTTGCAGTTAATCGGAAAGCAGACAATCATAGTGAAAGCTCTCTTTTTACGGTTTAACATGAAACGCATGAATACATTTAAGTACAATCTACGAATTAAGATTAAATGGCTGACTTTACATGGGCAGCCATGTCCTTTCTTGCATAAAGTTGCACAAAAGTTAAGCAATTGTCAAACAGTGGTTTTAACCAAAAATATATTTTGTGCGCTTTGTTGTTGGCGTCGTGTTCCTCAGTTCTTAATATCTAATCTTGTGTCCTGAATAAAGTTCCTGAATCATGTCACAGTTTCTTTTACTGAAATGAAGTTTTGCAGCAGTTACAAAGCCAAAACTGGAAATTTGAAGTTGAGAAAAGTTCTGCTCTGAGGCCAATATTTTTTTAAATGTATAAGGAGTTTACGGTAGCTGCATATGCTGTAGGCTGCACTCTTTTCAAAAGCCCTTTTTAGACAGAGATCATGTCAAACTGCCAGTGTTTTGACCCCTCACTCAATTAGCCAACATACTGCATCTCTGTTGTACAGGCTGGAAGAGAAGGAGTAGCATCATCCCCTGGCTCTGATGCCCGCCTGGGCTTAGACATGGTGGAAGGAGGTCGCACTGCCTTGGACAACAAGACCTCACTACTCAACACGCCATCTCCACGCTCCTTCTCTGGGCCACGGAGTCGTGAGTTCGCCCCTTATGGCTACGGGGAAACCATCTGCACATATGATAAGAGCGCCCTGAAGGAGGCCGTCTTTGACGATGATGTGGAGCAGTTTCGTGATGGTGAGTTCAAAAATGTGTTGGCTGTGGTAGTAGCAGCAGAAATGCACATTACAGCGTACTGTGCTCAGATCTGATCTAAAGCAGAACTGTTTTGAGTTTAATGTACTCTTTTGGGTGTGTAGCATGAGATTTAGGTCAAACTTGGTGTCACATGCACAAACAACATATACCTTTCAAACTGGTTTCAAGCAACGATTTAGGTCAAACTTGGTGTCACATGCATAAACAACATATACTTTTCAAACTGGCTTCAAGCAACACAGTAAAAGGCTTGAGAGTCAAATACTCCACTGAAGCACATTTTCATTATACAGAATTTCTTACATGTGGTGTTAAAGCACCTTTATGAACAACACTGAAATTATTATTAGATTGTTATCCTCTACTGAAAAGTCTCCCTATATACCACTGAAATGCTCGTAGTGTATATGAACAGCTCTCATTCATTCATTCAGGATTTTACTGCCCTTTTATGCTCAGTCACAAATATGATAAGAGATATCTGTAGTCTGCTTCGCTTGGTTCGTAGAATGAACACCGAACATGTTGACACACGTTGACACAAGATACAGAACTTTGTCTGCATAATGTTTACCATGAACACAGGTGTGTGAGTCTGCTGCTCCTCTGTTTAAAACACAATCCAGTGTGTGCATCAGTTGTTGTTGTCATCA